AAAAGAAATTTGGTAATATCAAACTTTTTTAAAAATGCAATATTAAATTTAATTATTGAAAATAATTAAAAAAATAAGCTTTCCATTAAAGTATTAAAAAAGGAGCCGATAAATAACATTTAATTTCTTTTGAGGTAATTAAAATTATTGCAGTAATTTAAAAAAAGTCTAAAAAAAATTAACAGAAATTTATGTTGGCAAATATCGCGTTAAGCTATGCATTAAGCATTTTTTTATTTAAAACAAGGCCTGGTATGGGTCTTAAGCATTCAAATTATAGAAACTAATTTCAGACAAAATGCATCGGACTGAACTGTTCAATGTAATTAAAACCAAATAAAAAATAAACATATATTATAATATATAACATATAAACATATAAAATAAACATACAAAACAAATATTTTTATTTGACCATTTAGAGTAAATTAACTTTAAAACGATTATTATTTCCATTAAACCATATTAATTAAATTTAAACAATCCCATCACTAAACCGTACAAGATTAAAATAAATTTAATATAAAAGGAATACTTACAGTATACCACATTATTTTAAACTAAATACTAAAAGAAAAACTATACCAAAATGTATATATTATTTAGCATATAAACTGAATATAAAACTAGTATGACAAATAGACCTTATAAATAAGTAGAAATATTATATATACCAAGTTTAAAATTACACTATACATTTGAATTTAAATAAACAAAAGTTAGTCTTAATATAAATATAAAACAAAGAACCACATTAAAACATACTAACTAAATGGAAATTATACATAACACAAACAACTTTATCTAAACATATCAATATTACCATTTTAAACCAGACCCTAAACCACATCAGATATCAGAATTCATACCATGAGGCATCAATGATGCGCAATTATAATGTTTGTTTACTTTGCTAATAACATAAAACAAATGGTATCCATGCTCCACGGCTGACACTTTATGCATCACATTTATGCTCTACAGTAACTCTACTATAACCATTCATTATCAAAATAATTAATTACATGTACTTTCCTTGGCTATGGTTTATTATTTCTGTTTATATTAACTACATATAACTATGATTAATTTTCATTATTTCTCTTCTTAGAGGCACTTTATTTCAACGGACATCAGTCCTTGTGTACTTTTATCTCAATCTGCTACACACTTTTAACTAGTTATGCATCTCTAAAGCGCTCACTGCTCAATGCAGTTCTAATAAGATGCATTGCATTCAAAACAAAAAGTATTTACAAACATGCAGATTCATACTAATAAAGACATTAAATAACATATAAAACTTTAACATTTAGAACACTACAAACACAAAACATATTAACTAACACAACTTACATAACATTGAAACAACACTTAATCATTAAATAAAACTCCCCTTTCATACACTACTTCTCAATACTGGACATCTGTCTAAATATTATAACTTATCTAGCCCTCCCTTGCACTTATATAAAATATTTCTTCCTTCTAA